AAATGGACGTGTACATTATAAATCTTTGCGATACACTCGAGCGACTCTAATCGTTTTCTCGCCTTTCTGTGTACCAGGCGACGGAACTGTGCATGCGCTTGGCTACAATCGTTGGGGTCAGCTGGGTTTGGGCGGGACGGAAGCTTACGCATGCGAACCCAAGAAAATACCTCGACTTCGTGATATAGGTAAGTACAAACTTGCGCCCGCCTCTGAATTGTGGGCCTGGTATGTATTGCCACTATAATAGCGTGTGCGTAGCCTTATACCAACCGAACGCACACTGTTTTATATATGTGTGCATGTGGGCGTATTTAGCATGGGACGTTCTGTGGACAATTCACTGAACAAGGTGATCATCTTAGACGTGCAGGCCCATACCTACACTTCAACAATATACATTCAAGCGCTCTCCTTATATTGAGTATGTATACATCCACCGTCCCACTTTCATACTCTATCGCTCATCTGATACAATCTCAACTTTAAACTTATATACGGCAGTGTATATAGCGGCGGGCGCCACACACAGCATGGCTATAGACTCCAAAGGTGCTTTGTTCATGTGGGGCAGCAACCGATATGGCAAGTGTGCTTCGTACGGCAAGGGGAAGCCATCGGTAAGCTATGTACCTGTGGTGGCTGATTGTAGCGATTCGCTCGTTTACTCTGCTGCTGGTGTTGTCTATGCGTCGGTACGAACAGGTTCACATGTCTGATTTTTCAGGTGCACGCCGAGTGAAGGGTATCGTTGTGAAGTAAGGGGCCGCGAAAGCTGTGCTTGGTCAATAATTGGGCATGCGGGTTGAATCTGCGAGTTATTATGACGTAGCATACGTGTAGGTAATACGTGATGGATGGCTGTGAATAATTGTTAACAATCTGGGCTGTTTGGTACTGTATGATACGTGCTTGGTAGAATAGTGTTTATATTTTGATTGTATGGCTTCGCACAAGGTGTTTTGCGCGTATGATGGAAAACTGCATACTCATCTAGTAACAGACGCGTGAAATATACACAACGTGCTCGCAATGTGTCGCTGAATTAATCAATATATTTTATTTGACAATATTTTTTGCCGAATAATTGGTCTCAACAGCCACCCGTGGTTGAGTTTCCACACAAGGTGGCCTCTCTGGCACCCGTGAAGAGTGTGGTTGGGGGCATGGGCCATACGGTTATCCTGCTGAGGTGTGTAGAGAATTGTGTGCAAGACACGTATGAACGATAAATAGGCACAGTACGTCGCCTATGTATATATACACACACACACACACACACACACAC